CCGGTGTCTGCTGAGCCAGGTAGTCACTTCCTCCGCCCACCTGCGGGCAGCGGGACTGCGCGTGCTACACCCGGAGGGTGGCCTTTTCCAGAGCGGATTGTGGTTCCTGTTTGCATTGCTGTGGGCTCTCACCCCTCTGCTTGTAGGTCAGCAAAATCAGCCTGGTGGACCTGGCTGGGAGTGAACGAGCCGACTCCACAGGGGCCAAGGGCACGAGACTAAAGGTAAGAGCAGAGCCTGGGGCGCTGAGCTGGGCCCCTTCCTTTGGGCTGAGTCGTGTCATCACGTCACTGCTGAGAAGGCAGCGATTCCCCGGGGGTGCAGAGGCAGCACGTGGGGGCAGGGGTTGCACGTTCATCAGTGAGCCCAGGCTCATGGGGTAACCAGTGACACTGTCACAGCCCTAGCTCTCAGGCAGCGGAGTGCCCGCGAGGATGCCCTGCTGAGCCGTTAACCCGCCACAAGCACTGCTCCCCACGGGGCCCTTCCGAGCCTGCACCCGTCTGCCGCAAACAGGGGGGTTATTGCTCCTCCGGGTACAGCCCAGCACAGACGTGACGTGGCTACAGGGCCCAGGGCCAGGATGCCTCAGACCCCTTGGGACGGGGGGTGCCTCAGTCCTTAGACTCCCAGCCCCCTCCTTCGTGTGTCCCCTTCATGGTTCCAGCCAGAAACTGACCCTTCCCCCCACACTCCCTTCCTTTGTTCCATCCCTTCCCTTAACCGGTAGGACCGGTTCGGTCACTGTCATGGGGCCCTCAAGGCGCCCCCCGCTGGGCAGTGTTACAGACACAGGCCAGTAGGGGTCGCCCACAGCCCAGCACCGTGCCCAGCACCGCGCTGTATCACCCCCGCCCCGTGCAAAGCCTTTCGTGGCAGGGAGGCCGTGTAAGCTGGGTGCACGGCCCATCTGTGGAGTGGGCCTGGCTGCTGTGCCGAGCTGCAGAGCCCCACAGGTCCCTGAGCAGGTGTCAGGGCCTCTGTCAGTTGGCTTCCAGGCCACGGTGTCCTGTCTTCCTTCAACAGGAGGGAGCAAACATCAACAAGTCTCTGACCACGCTGGGGAAGGTCATCTCTGCGCTGGCTGAGATGGTAGGTGGCCGGGAGGGGCGGGTACCCAGGACGGTGCTCGGCAGCCCGGGAGCACTGGCTCACCTCTGGGCCTCGGCCCTGGCTAAGGCTCGCTCCAGGCGACGGGGCTGTGCTCAGCCCACGTAACCCCGGTGTAATGACTGTGAAGTGCCCTCCGAGGCAGGTGCACCAGGAATGAGCCAGCGAAGAGGCGTGCGGGGCAAACAGCCCTATTCCCAGGGCCCAAGGAGATCTGCCCCCCCCCCCGGTGGTGAAGAGTGGCCTGTGCTGCTGAGGGGTCCTGCCGGGAGCGGGGGAACCTTTGGCAGTATCCACACTGCAGGGGTCTGGCGGGAGTGCTGGCTGCATGTGCCTGGGGGGGCATCGGGGCTCACTGACGGATACACATGGACAGATGCAGAGACGCTAGAGCCATTAGGCAGCCAGGCAAGATGGGAAATGGAGCCAGGATCATGGCGTCTCTCCCCACTTTGCTCACGTCGTGGCTCTGGCGATCCCTCCCCTGGCTCCGTCTGGCTTGGCCTTTTCCCAGCCTACGCGCTCGGGTTCGCCCGTTGTGTTTAAGGTGCTACCGCCCTGTAATGGTCACGCCCAGTCCCGTGCCCTGAGCCACAGCCTGCCCCGGAGGGGTGAGTGGCGTGGGTTCCTCGTTCCTGCTGCTTGCGAGCCGCACACAGCCCGGGCGCCGCCTGCTCTCCGCGGGCAGCTCTTCCTCTCGGGGAAGCCAAAGGTTCTCCTGGAGGGGGAGGGGAACTTGCAGCTCCTTGTCCTGGCTGGAGCAAGCCGGCTCTGGCTCCCGTGCTCATGCAGTGGCAAATGATGTCTCTGGTTTCCTTGCAGGATTCGGGGCCCAATAAGGTACGTGCTCTGGGGGCCTGGGCTGGGCAGGGAGGGGGTGACAGGCCTGCAGCCCAGGCCCAGGCTGTTTCCAGCTCTGCTCTGAAATTCCGGGGCCATTCAAAGAGCCAGGCCAGGCGAGGAGGAGGCCTTAGCACTGCCCCAGCTGCCTTTGGGAGTGGGAGCTCAGTGGAGCAGCTGTGCTGGAGAGGAGAGCCTGAGCTCGGCGGGCGCGTAGGCGGCTCCTCGGGCTGTCCCCTCTGCTGCAGGGCCAGGCCAGAGCTAGAGGCCATGCAGGGAGTGAAATCTTTTTGGGGAGGGCAGGAGGCCAAGCGGCTTGCCAAGGTCACACAAGGAGACTTGGGCCCAAGTCCTTGGCTAGTGTCCGATCTACTGGACCCGACAGCCTGGCTGGCGGCGGGGGGAACGGAACGGTCCATGCCAAAGCAGAGAGTCTCAGACAGACGCTCCCGAAGGAGTGCTGGGTGTAGATCACTCGCCAGCATCCAGGCTTTGGCTCCTTCGCGATCTGGATCGTAGATGGCTGCCAGCGGAAACTCCGGCGTGTGCTTCGGCCACTTAGCGAAGGCCCCGGCTCGGTCCTGACTGGGCGTCCGCCACTCCTGAAGAGAGCGAGGAGTCTGATCTCCTTGCTGTGCTCTCTCCCTCCAGAACAAAAAGAAGAAAAAGACGGACTTCATCCCGTACCGGGACTCCGTGCTGACCTGGCTCCTCCGGGAAAACCTGGGTGAGGGAAGGAGTCTAGTCCATGTTGTTTGCCCAGTTCTGGCCTTAACTCACTGAATATCCAGGCAACAGACCTCCAGAGGCCCCTAACTCCTGCCCGCTCTTCTTCAGCTGCTCCCTCTTCCTCTGCCTGCGGCGCCCGGAGACCCTTTGCCAGGGCAGGATAACCTGCCGGCTCCTTCAGAGCACTGGCGGGTGGCGGGTGAGCTGGGGCCTGGGGGGGGCCACTGGCTGGCAGGTGCGCTCTGTGGGCAGAAGAGCCGGGATGATCTGGCAGGAGGGGACGCAGAGAGAAGGGGGGTAACCGAGAGGGCCCAGAACAGGCCTACTTCATGGTGCCCCGGGGTGTTTTCTGTGGCAGGCGGGAACTCCAGGACTGCGATGGTTGCTGCTCTCAGCCCTGCTGATATCAACTACGACGAGACCCTCAGTACTCTAAGGTAGGCTCTGTGACAGCAGGCCTGTCGCGCCCTGCCAGGCTGGGACCCCTGCTCCTGTTGCCTTCACCCCTCCTGCCCCATTGTCCCTCGCTGACAGCACTTAGCATGGCCCCGTGCCAGCCCCAAAGCAGCGGAGGGGAGTCCCTCGGGCGCAGCGTTACAGAGCACTGCCCTCCCCCTCCAGCCACCGTCCCTGCGCGGCACCCAGCCACGCTGACGCTCCCTTGGGCTGCTGGCTGGGGCCTCCTGGCCCGACGGCCACGGCTCTGAGCTGGGCCAAGCAGGCCTCTGGCAGAGCCAGGCCTCGCGCGGGTGTATCGATAGACCTGGACAGTGCCCAGGCTGCCTCACCGGGTGTCCCGGCCTGCAGGTACGCTGACCGTGCCAAGCAGATCAGATGCAACGCTGTCATTAACGAGGACCCCAACAATAAGCTGATCAGGGAGCTGAAGGATGAGGTGGCTCGTCTGAGAGACCTGCTCTACTCCCAGGGCCTTGGCGACATCATCGACAGTGCGTACCTCGCGGGCTCTCGCCAGGGGCTGGGCCTTGCCGCAGAACACTGAGGTGCAGCTCTCTGGACCTCAGTGGTCTGGGCTAGGCCATTCCTCGGCCACCCTCATGCCCGCCCGTTGTGCCCCGGCATCCCCGTTCCCTGGCGCCGCGCCTCTCCTGCAGCCTGTCGGGGGTGCTCTGCTGACAGCAGGGATCACCGCGGTCCTGGGCACCCTGGCAGGGGCCTCCACAGCTTTGTGCTGCCAGTCCCAGGACTCCTGTCCCAGCCAAGAGCCAGGCTCTGCTTTGAGCGCTCCCTGCACTGCTCCCAGGGAGAGGTCCCCAGGCTGGCTCAGGGTGTGGCCGCTCCTCTGGGCCTGTGTCCCGTAGAGACGAACCTTCTCTTGTTCTGTTTTCTTTGTCTTTCTTCCCTCTCCTCTCCTCTCTCCCGTAGCTAGCACTGCTCCAGGAGGACCTAAATGTGTGTATTTCCCATTGTGTGTTCTGTGTGCTTCAGCGCTTGCCGAGGCTCGGTCGCAGCAGGGGAACATGCCTGCAGCATGGCAAAGCAGTGCAGGTGTTGGGTGGCCATCTGCTCCTCCCCAGCAGTGCCCTGCCGCAGTGCTTAGCCGGAGAGCTGCCAGGCTCAGCCCCGGCCCAAGGGCGCAGGGAGCACTGAGGGGCTCGGGCAAGTGCCCACCCCGGCGCGGTACGCGCTGCTTTCCTCACGAGGAGGCTCACCCGTGGCCTGTGCTTCGCCCAGATCCCGCAGCGCCACGTGCTGGGGTCCTGGGGCTGACGTGGTGAGCGCGGGGCGGTCAGGCCCCACACATCCTCAAAGTCGGGGTCATCTCTGCACCAGAGGTAGTGCAGCCCCAGGCAGGTGGTTCTGGGAAGCCAGACTGAGGCCAGCCAGCTTCTCCCAGTCAGTGCCTGGGTGGGCCTGGAGCCAATGTCCCCCAGTGCCCCCAGGGCTTAGCTGAGGAACGTGAGACAGGGCAGGTTTCCTGGGAACTCCCTGGGCCTCTCTCCTCCCTGCTGTAACCATGGTTCCTGCTGCTTCCGTGCCGTGGCTGCTTCTGCTAGGCCCAGGGCCCTTCCCGATTCCAGGACTGGCTCTGCTGGCAAACTACAGGCACAGAGTTTTCTGCTGCCTGCCGATGCTGTAAGATCACAGCTGCTCCCAGCACTGACCCTGGTGCTGGTTGTACTGGGACCTGCAGGGCTACTGAACGACAGGTCGACCCTCTCTAGTCCGGGACCCTCCAGTCCTGACCGGTGCCGAACCAGAGAATTTGCCCGACAGCGGGAGGTCATATTGTCTAGCAGCATCACCGGCACTTCCACTGCCGCCTGGGCTCTTGGAGACTTGTAGGGGTAAATCGGAGCCAAAGAACAGCACAGAACACAGAGCCATGGCTGTAAAGAAATGCCTGGGGCCTTGGGAAACGTGGCCACACCATGATGAACAGACAGCCGGCTAACTAACATCAGACCGGACCGCGGAGGTTGCCAGACTAGAGAGGTTCAACCTGTGGTTCATTAGTCCTGCCTTGACAAAGGGAGCTGGCTTCATGCTGGGAGGCCCTGCTGTCCCTGTAACAGAGCCATGGACCATCCAGCTGGCGTCCATGGTCAGTGGCATAGTGAGAATCCGTGTCAGTCTGGCAGAGAAACAGCCCATGACTGCCAGGCTGATGAGGGCCTAGTGCAGGTGCAGACCTCAGCCCTGTAGCAGATGCCTGCCCTGACAGACTTTGGAGCCAGACTCCCGTTCCTCAGGAGACGCTGGCCTGGGCTGCTGGTTTCGGGGGAGTGGCCCTTTGGTCCTGCCCTGGGCCCGCCAGGGCATGTGCGTGAGCACAGAGAGCACTAGAGTCTGCAGGGCACGACAGGCTGTTTGCCAGGTAATGTCTGACCCAAGGCAGGAGGAAAGGAGGAAGCTGGAAGCAATGTTTTGAAAGCCAATAAGGAGCCGTACTGGAGAGGGAGAGCTACAGCTCCCCTGCCCCTGCCCTGAGCTTCCTCCAAGAGGGAGCATGCACCAGGACTGGCCTGGGTTCCTAGCCACAGGGGGCTGGTGGCTCCATTGTTCCTCTGAGCACATTGCCAGAGCAGTAAGTGAGCAGGGCAGAGACGTCTCAGGTGTAAGTCCATCTGGCTCTCTGGTGGGTGGAGTAGCAAGGTAGAAGCTCTGCTGTGACAGAGACCAGGCTAGACGAACCTCAGCTCCCATCCCCGATGGCCATTTCCACGTACGTTCAAGGCCCACGCTACCAGCGCCATGGCGGTGCTGTGGGGAGTGATCCCCGAGGGGCGTGGTCCCTGGGGCTCTCACCCCGCCACGTTCCGCCCAACTCCACCTTCTGGGGCGGATCGCAGCGCCAGGGCCCCAGGCAAAGGCACCTTTCTGCTGCTCCTTTTCTCCAGCCCTCAGTGAGTGATGGCCACTCCATTCGCTTGGCTTTGGCTCTTGCTTAGGCTCCCCCTTGGCCTCCTGGCAGCCTCCTGCGCAAAGAGGCGAGCCTTTTGGACATGGGGCCGCTGCGTGAGCTCCCCCCTCCCCCGTGTGAATCACCTCCGGCCCTCCTGGATCCCAGGTTCAGACTAATGCTCCAAGGAACGAAACACCCGACACTTCAGGGTTCCTTGGGAACAGGAACAAAGCAGCCCAGCCAAAGGAATCCTGAGCCACCGATCTTGTGATTAGGTCCGTGGGTGGTGGGAGCCTCAGTCGCGGCCCAGGGCCCAGTGCTGCTAGGGCCTGGGACAGACACGGGATAAAACGCCGGGCCCTGCCCCCAAGAGCTCGTTGGGGCCAGAGCCGGCAGTTCCCATTGTGACACCCCCGCACTGAGTTTCACAGAGGGCCCTCGGCTCTTCCCAACATCCGGCCGGATTGGGGCCGAAAGGCTCTGCTGCCCGTTTAGCCATTAGCCAGCCCAGGCGTGCCCCCTGCCCGGCTCTGATCCCACCAAGCTAGAATGGGGGGTGGGGTGCAGCAACACCCCTGGCCCCGACACTAGCTCATGGCTCTGTGTGTGAGTGTGAGTGTGACGGTGTGAGCGCCCCTGGCCCTGACACTAGCAGATGACTCTGTGTGTATCTGTGTGTGAGTGTGAGTGTGACGGGGTGAGTGCCCCTGGCCCCGACACTGGCACATGGCTCTGTGTGTATCTCTGCGTGAGTGTGACGGTGTGAGCGCCCCTGGCCCTGACACTAGCAGATGACTCTGTGTGTATCTGTGTGTGAGTGTGAGTGTGACGGGGTGAGTGCCCCTGGCCCCGACACTGGCACATGGCTCTGTGTGTATCTCTGCGTGAGTGTGACGGTGTGAGCGCCCCTGGCCCTGACACTAGCAGATGACTCTGTGTGTATCTGTGTGTGAGTGTGAGTGTGACGGGGTGAGTGCCCCTGGCCCCGACACTGGCACATGGCTCTGTGTGTATCTCTGCGTGAGTGTGACGGTGTGAGCGCCCCTGGCCCTGACACTAGCAGATGACTCTGTGTGTATCTGTGTGTGAGTGTGAGTGTGACGGGGTGAGTGCCCCTGGCCCCGACACTGGCACATGGCTCTGTGTGTATCTCTGCGTGAGTGTGACGGTGTGAGCGCCCCTGGCCCTGACACTAGCAGATGACTCTGTGTGTATCTGTGTGTGAGTGAAACAAAATACAGGACAATGTAGCTGGCCCCGACACTAGCACATGGCTCTGTGTGTATCTGTGTGTGAGTGAAACAAAATACAGGACAATGTAGCACATATCTCTGCGTGAGTGTGACGGTGTGAGCGCCCCTGGCCCTGACACTAGCACATGGCGCTTTGTGTATCTGTGTGAGTGTGAGTGTGACGGCGTGAGTGCCCCTGGCCCTGACACTAGCACATGGCGCTTTGTGTATCTGTGTGAGTGTGAGTGTGACGGCGTGAGTGCCCCTGGCCCTGACACTAGCACATGGCGCTTTGTGTATCTGTGTGAGTGTGAGTGTGACGGCGTGAGTGCCCCTGGCCCTGACACTAGCACATGGCGCTTTGTGTATCTGTGTGAGTGTGAGTGTGACGGCGTGAGTGCCCCTGGCCCTGACACTAGCACATGGCGCTTTGTGTATCTGTGTGAGTGTGAGTGTGACGGCGTGAGTGCCCCTGGCCCTGACACTAGCACATGGCGCTTTGTGTATCTGTGTGAGTGTGAGTGTGACGGCGTGAGTGCCCCTGGCCCTGACACTAGCACATGGCGCTTTGTGTATCTGTGTGAGTGTGAGTGTGACGGCGTGAGTGCCCCTGGCCCTGACACTAGCACATGGCGCTTTGTGTATCTGTGTGAGTGTGAGTGTGACGGCGTGAGTGCCCCTGGCCCTGACACTAGCACATGGCGCTTTGTGTATCTGTGTGAGTGTGAGTGTGACGGCGTGAGTGCCCCTGGCCCTGACACTAGCACATGGCGCTTTGTGTATCTGTGTGAGTGTGAGTGTGACGGCGTGAGTGCCCCTGGCCCTGACACTAGCACATGGCGCTTTGTGTATCTGTGTGAGTGTGAGTGTGACGGCGTGAGTGCCCCTGGCCCTGACACTAGCACATGGCGCTTTGTGTATCTGTGTGAGTGTGAGTGTGACGGCGTGAGTGCCCCTGGCCCTGACACTAGCACATGGCGCTTTGTGTATCTGTGTGAGTGTGAGTGTGACGGCGTGAGTGCCCCTGGCCCTGACACTAGCACATGGCGCTTTGTGTATCTGTGTGAGTGTGAGTGTGACGGCGTGAGTGCCCCTGGCCCTGACACTAGCACATGGCGCTTTGTGTATCTGTGTGAGTGTGAGTGTGACGGCGTGAGTGCCCCTGGCCCTGACACTAGCACATGGCGCTTTGTGTATCTGTGTGAGTGTGAGTGTGACGGCGTGAGTGCCCCTGGCCCTGACACTAGCACATGGCGCTTTGTGTATCTGTGTGAGTGTGAGTGTGACGGCGTGAGTGCCCCTGGCCCTGACACTAGCACATGGCGCTTTGTGTATCTGTGTGAGTGTGAGTGTGACGGCGTGAGTGCCCCTGGCCCTGACACTAGCACATGGCGCTTTGTGTATCTGTGTGAGTGTGAGTGTGACGGCGTGAGTGCCCCTGGCCCTGACACTAGCACATGGCGCTTTGTGTATCTGTGTGAGTGTGAGTGTGACGGCGTGAGTGCCCCTGGCCCTGACACTAGCACATGGCGCTTTGTGTATCTGTGTGAGTGTGAGTGTGACGGCGTGAGTGCCCCTGGCCCTGACACTAGCACATGGCGCTTTGTGTATCTGTGTGAGTGTGAGTGTGACGGCGTGAGTGCCCCTGGCCCTGACACTAGCACATGGCGCTTTGTGTATCTGTGTGAGTGTGAGTGTGACGGCGTGAGTGCCCCTGGCCCTGACACTAGCACATGGCGCTTTGTGTATCTGTGTGAGTGTGAGTGTGACGGCGTGAGTGCCCCTGGCCCTGACACTAGCACATGGCGCTTTGTGTATCTGTGTGAGTGTGAGTGTGACGGCGTGAGTGCCCCTGGCCCTGACACTAGCACATGGCGCTTTGTGTATCTGTGTGAGTGTGAGTGTGACGGCGTGAGTGCCCCTGGCCCTGACACTAGCACATGGCTCTGTGTGTTTCTCTGTGTTTTAATTTCTAGCTTTCTCCTCACCGCACTGTCACTTTTTCCCAACTGTCTTTCTTTTCTCTTTCTTTTCCTTCTTCCTGTCCATGTGTCCCCCTCCTCCTGCCTGTCCCTGCCCCGTAGACATGACCGACTGTGAGAACAATAATGGTAACCGTAGCCTGGCCGAACTGAGTCAACGCCCTGACAATCTCTCCACAGTGACCAATGCCTTAGTGGGGATGAGCCCTTCGTCCTCGCTCTCCGCCTTGTCCAGCCGAGCTGCCTCCGTCTCCAGCCTCCACGAACGCATCATGTTTGCTCCGGGCAGCGAAGAGGCCATCGAGAGGCTGAAGGTAAGGGCCTGTGGACACACGTGTGCTGCACTGAGGCTAGGGGAAGATGGAAGATGTTTGGCCTTGCGACAGACCCATTTTCTGTCTGTGGCTGGTGACTGTAACAGCCCTGGCTCTGCAGTTTGGTTTGTGCATCTCCACGATCATCGCCTGCAGCCACCAGCTTCTTAGGCAGCCATGAACGTGGGCAAGCAGGAGCTTTACTGAAGGCCCTGAGTGAAGTCCAGGCTCCCAAGAAGGCCTGGGGAGTTCCTCACAGGTTAGAAAGCCTCCAGAAGCTCAGCTCTTCTCCGAGTGCGTGCACGTTCTGCTCCAAGCAAGGGGCGCGTGCCCTGCGCATGCTGGCGCAGTGTTTTCCCTAGCGGCATCTCTTGGCCGGCTCTGGCAGGCCCTGATGCTGCGCGCCCGTCGTATGGGCAGAAGTGCTGAACCCCCGCCCTTGAATTCTGTCTTGCCCCCCGGGACGGCTGTTGGAACTTCCCTCTGCCTTGGCAAAGGTTTCCGTGGTGGATCTCTGCTTCGTTGTTACTGGCAGGGGTTGTGGAAGCGTTTCAGTCAGCTTGGCCGAGGGATTAAGAGAGCTCTCCTTGTCTGGAGGGGCGTTCCTCCGCCCGGTGCCAAGGCTCGCCTCAGACTCGGGGTTTCGGCCTCACTCCACCTGTACCCACCAGTCACCCTCTCTCAGGCTGGGAGAAGGGTACAGGAAAGATGGCTGCCCGATTAGCCACGCGTTGAAACCCACACTCACGTCCGAAGAGCAACAGTTACAGAAAAGTTGGTAACTGTCTTTTTCTAGGCCAGAGGTTTTCTAGGCACTGCAGTTCCAGGTAACTGAAGAAGTGGGCCCTGTCCACGAAATCTCATGATCCATGTTTTGTTAGTCTCTGAAGTGCTGCCAGACCATTGGTTGTTCTTTACACTCACTAGTGGGCGTCTCGGAGGGGTAGTTGTGTTAGTCTGTAACTTGAAAACAGGAGTGGTCCTGTAGCACTTCTTCAGTGGGTTGCACCCCGAGATCTCACGAAACAATCTGTATTTTTGTTGGTCTCTCAGGTGCTACAGGACCACCTGTTTTTTAAGCTTTTTCTTTTTTCGCTGTTGGGAGAGTTTTGCTGGAGCCATCACTGACACTGGTGAGCCAGCTGGCTGCAGTGTGGGGCCCAGACCTGCCCATGCTGAATGGCAAAGGTCCACCTGCTTTCCTGACATGTTCTCTTCCAATGCTGGCGCAGGGGTTTGTTGAGGAAATTCTTACCCTGCCTTTTCCCGGTGATTCGTGTCCTGCAGCCAGGAAGCGGAGCAGTCTCCCTTGTGTCCATTGTGGGGTGTGACTAGGAGATGCTGCTGTCACGGTGACCAGCGCAGAAAAGGGGCTCTGGAGTAAAGCTGAAAAGAGGATTTGCAGTTCTGCTGCCAAGGGTGGCAGCAGCAGCCGCAACCCCCCAACATTTAAACTCTGCTTGCCAGGAAACGGAGAAGATCATCGCGGAGCTGAACGAGACCTGGGAAGAAAAGCTGCGGAGGACGGAAGCAATCCGCATGGAGAGGTGAGTACAGCAGCGGTGCCTGTAGGACCCAGGCACTCGCAGCATCCACACACTGTATGCACCTTTGTGCCTGCCCTCAGTGGGGTTGCTGGGGTGACGTCAGCTGTCTGTGCAGGCTGATAGCGGTACCAGCAGCCCGGGTCGTTCCCGTTTCTGTCGTCAGGCCGTGCCCCAGTTTCGCCAGTGGCATGGCTGACACTCCTCATCTACTGCCTCCTGCTGGGGGCACTGCTTAGCCCCAGCTGTGCTGACCTGGCACCTGCTCACAGTCAGGTGTGAGGGGACAGAAGTGACTGAGATGAGTCAGTCCCCGTCCAACCATTTCAATGCCGTGATCACGTCTCCAACGGGAGGAGGCAGATGGGTTTGTTGGCAAGGCACTAAATCAGCCTGCAAGGTTCCTTTGTGACCTCCTGCAAGTCAGTTTATCCCTCTCTGCCTTGATTTCCCCTGCCTGTAGCACGGAGCTAGTAGTACTACACTGCTGAGTCCTTCCTCATTCACACAAGTAAGGTGCTTTGAGAGTCTCAAATAGCTGGCACTAGCTGTGTGTGCGTGTGCGTGTGCGTGTGCGTGTGCGCGTGCATGCGCACACGCGCGCGCCATACCTTAGAGGACTTTAAGGAAATGGAACTACTGAAATCATCCATCTTGCTTGTTGGCGTAATTGTTTAATCAAATTGTCACGATGGGGCCATTTATCCCAGCACTACACAAACATCTCACAAAGCCCACCCTAGGCTACGTAATCCCGTGTTCCTCTCACGGTTGCCTGTGTCCGCCTTTGCCCTTCTCCTTCCATTGCCGTGTTCCATGCACTCGATTTGTCCTGTTCCCAGCTGGCCTGTGAGCTCTGAGGCAGGGCCGGTGCCCGTGCAGCCCTTAGCACAGTGGAATCCTGACCACAGCTGGCTTCTCTAGGCGCTGCTCTGATGCAAAAAACTAACGCCACAGGTTGACAGTTTTGCTTTTGCTGTTGCCCAGGGAAGCTTTGCTGGCAGAAATGGGCGTGGCCATGAGGGAAGATGGAGGCACGCTGGGCGTGTTCTCGCCTAAAAAGGTAGGTAGGATTCCTGTAATCTCTTCTGCCACAGCGAACAGGCCCTTCCCAAAATATACCGACGGCCCAGCAGTAGCACTTTGGAAATCCCTCTCTACAGAAGGCCTGTTAGTCCGTCTCACTTCAGATCACCCTGAGACACGCGTACTGTCTCCTCTAGCTCGGCGGGTGTTGGCTGTGAAACGTGAAGATGACACTTTACACGTCAGTCCTGTTCGCTGTTTCATTAAAGATCATTCTAATAGAAACACCCAACTCATTTTCCCCTCCCATGCTCAGGTTGCCTGCCACACTACTCCAGATGGAGAATTTACTGGAGAATTGGGGGTTCCTGGAATGATTGTGTGATTGCTTTTTAAATGCAGTTTATAAAAACCTTCATTTTCCAATGTTAATGAAGTAGCTCCTGAATTACCTGTCTGGAACACCAGGTTTCTGCAGCAGATTCCTTGGTACAGGATGTGGGCCCAGTTTGCCATAGAATAGGCCAGGCCTTAATCCTGGGTTGAAAACACCAAAATATTATTAATGCCGTAAAAATGCCCTAAGTGTGCCAGGCATTCTAATAACTCACAGTCCCTACCCCCGATGGCTACGTATTTCAGTTGGTTTTTTTCCCTTTTAGCCACTGCCTGTTAGGCCCCCAGGATGTATTCCTAGAAAGCGTGGGGGTGCACCCCCCCAAGCAGGTTGGTCTGGAGGGCAGAGCTGGAGTGAACATCCCTAAGCTATCCTGGGGTAGAAAGCGGTCTGAACTCTCTAGCTGGTGGCTATGCGGTTTGGCTTTGAAAGACTTGGAAGCCCAGCCCAGGGAGAGGAACGAGACCGAAGAACATGTCTTTGTTGCTGCATTATGCAGCCAGTTCCCTTTGGGAGCAGCTTCACAGAGGGCGAGCTAATACATGCGCCCTGTAAACCCTGAGAAAGGTCCCAAGCTGAATGAGTTTCCACGTCCGCCTGTGCTCTCGTGGACTGTCACTAGTGCTCTGCGCAGGCAGCTTAGGGGCGAGGGGCTGCAGAAGGTTGCTGGGCTGGCATAAGCTCTCTGCTCCCTGCCTCTAGCAGGCTGGTGTTGAGGCACCCGAGTGTAAGAGCACGAGTGAGCAGAAAATCACCCCTGCCCACAACACGTCCGTTCCTTGTCCATGCCAGCTGGCCACCAGGGAGAAGAGATCACGTTCTACCCTGACCTCCTCCTTTGTGCTCTTTGCAGTGACTTACTTGCCTGGCCAGGGTCTGGGCAGTAGCCCTGGCAGGTGGATGTTTCTTATAGGGGCTTATAGTTTTGCACAAAAGGGACTTTTGCCCGAACGGGAGCAGCATCGTATTTCCGCAAGAAGCACTGATTTCTTACAGTAGGAAGTCAGTGCTTTTGTGGAAATTCAAGCGGCCAGTGTAGACAGCTGGCAAGGTTTTCCAGAAAAGTGGCTGATTTTCCGGAAAAACTGGCCAGTCTAGACACAGCCCTGGGGTGCAGGAAACCTGGTTCAGGTTCATGCTCTATCAGGCTGCCTGAATGCCATGGGCAAGTAGGTCATTTAGGCTCAGTTGCCATGTTTAAAATGGGGACCAGCATCACTTTCCTTCCTCCCCCTGTGATCCCAGGGTTAGACGCTAGCAAAGCGAGGCCATTTGCAAGAGTGGATCCCTATAATGAAGCATTCAGGCACCTGGATGGATAAGAAAGTGCTGTGCAGCCAGCAGCTCCTGTTGAGTTGTGGGGTCGTTAACCGGAGCTCAGCCCCTTATTCAGGTGCGGCACAGGGAGGTGAATGTTACGCCCCGTTACAGCGATTCTTGTCCACTGACACTTGTACGATATCCTAATGAAAACCAGAGCAGTCGCCCCGGTTAGCTCTGGGTGAAGCAGGGCTGCTAAGCAGGACGGTTTATGGGAGAAAGGCGGGGGAGACGAGGAAGAAGCCAGCTTCATGAGGGGGAGGAAAGACGTGATCACATCCTGCATCGCAACCGGGCTGTAGCAGTTTGGGTGGAGGATGCAGAGGAAGCATTTTGGCCACTCCTGGCTCTCCAATAGTTAACGCTTTCTCCTTGTGTGAGGCAGGGAGGGCCTAGGGACCCAACTCAGGAATCATCTAATCCTGTACATTGGGAATTGCTTGAGATCTGTAATCTCCATCTTCTGATAAGCAGCCCTCTGCTCCTGAGCGTGTGTTCACTGTTTGCTGTGCATGCGGGACATTTCTGATCCCCTTTGCGTGCCATTTACACTGGTTTTGTGCTTGTGATTTTAGAGGGTCTCGCAGGGCTCAGTGAGGTGTAAGATCATAACTGCGTGAGCTTGCTCCCAGAAGTGCTCTGCTTCTGGCAGCTAAAATTCCAGCACCGAGGGAGCTCCTTGGCCATTTGGGGTACGCTAGGTGTATGCTGGAGGGCTTGGCCAGCTGTACCATGTTTTGGGGAGGCCAGGAATCTCCGCTCTAGCTCCAAGGAGGCAGTACAGCAGTGTGCCCATGTCCCTGGGCTCACACAACCAGCTGAGGCCAATGTCTTACCCTTGCCAGCCCCCTTAGAGAAGCAAGGTCAGTGCTGAGCAGAGCTCGTTTCCCTCACCCCCACGTGGTGCCATCACTGGCACCAGTGCAAAGCAGGTGTGAATGGAGCCTGTTGTGAATGGACTTGGTGTAAAAGTACGTGGCTTGTTGAGATGCAGGGCAGAGGTGAGCCAGAGCCCAGCTCAGCTTCCCAGCTTCTGTTTTGATTTGAATCAGCTTTTGAGGCACAGGTCAGGCTGGCAGGGACTATCCAAGGAATTACGAGTTCGGTGAATGCCAATGGGAGTTGGGCACCTGATCCTCTTTGGGCACCTTTGAAAATCCCTACCCCAAATGTTCTCCCCCTGAATTACGCTGGGTCAGGAGCGAGTGGGGGCACCACGCAGCGGAGCAGCCTGTTCAGTGGCCGTGTCCTGGGACATCAGTCAGTGTCTGCCGTGGGTTCTGAGGGCGCCTTTGACCCTTTGCTTTTTCCCTGCAGACGCCTCACCTGGTCAACCTGAACGAGGACCCGCTGATGTCTGAATGCCTGCTCTACTACATTAAGGATGGGATAACCAGGTGAGGCTGTACCTGCCGCAGAAACACGTCGCATCGGGGTGCTTTGTTGCTATGGAACTCAGTCCCAGAGAACTTCAGAGCCCTGATTTAGTGGGGGGTCGTTCGGCTTTGAGCAGGGGGCCGGATGTGGTGGCCTCTTGGGCATGCCCCATAGCTCTGGCTGGCCTTCCCGCAGGAGTGGCTAGAAAGGGAATCCCGTGGGTTGAATGTGCTGCCGGTGAAGGGGAGCCAGATTGCACCGTCCTTGCGGGAGAATGTCCCTCCCTAGGGCTGGGCGTGGAAGCTCTGGCCCCAGGCGACTCGGGTGAACTGAGGGGGCAGCTGCAGATTCTCGTTCCACTCCTGGCAGAGATGCTCTAACCTGCGTATAGCGGCGTGCCAACCGTCCTGGGTTTCCCTGCCCACTCACCAGTGGAGCTGTTGGCCTGGCTCTCAGTGAGGCTCTCCTGGGACAGCCCGTTCCAGTAGCTGGAATGACTCTCCACGGGCTTTGGCCCAAGCCCTGCGGGTGCGAACAGGGAACCCCCCTGAGGTTGTGTCTGCCCGCAGGGTCGGCCGAGAGGATGCTGAGAGGAGGCAGGACATCGTGCTGAGTGGACACTTCATTAAGGAGGAACACTGCATTTTCCGCAGTAACACCAAGGGCAGTGGCGAAGGTACCTTCAAACCGAGCCCCGCCGCCCACACTCTGGGCTCGCGCCCAGTTCGCTTCCACCCCTGCTTGCCTGCAGCCCCTGCTCAGGGCGTGCGGCCAGGGCACGCCAGCGCCCACTCATGTCCAGGGCTAGGGCACTGACGCTTGCCAAGAGGCATGAAGGAGGGCACCTCTTCTCTAGCTGCTTGTGCAGGTGGGGTGCGTGGGAATGCAGGATCGGCAGTGATATCTCCCCTGTCTCCTGGGTCCGGTCATTCAGACCAGTCTCCTCGCTATGCCAGCTTCCCTGGTCAAAATGGGCTTCGCAGCCCTTGCAAGGCAGAGGGCCAGGCAGGGCAGGGCACTGGGGCCTGGCAAAGCCACTCCGCTGGCAGAAGTGCAGAAGAACCTCTCCGGGGGCGATGGGTGGTTGCTAGGAGAGGCCACTGGAAGGCAAGTTAGGAAGCAGAGAAGATGGCTGGGAAAGACACGCCCGAGCAATGGAGGCTGATTCCCTGGCTGACGGCATTCGGCATTGTCTGAGGCCATCCCTCCTGCAGACCCGGCAGCCCAGCAAACTCGCCTGCTTGCAGGAAGCGGGGGCTAAATCTCTGGGATCAGGACTGGCCATAGGGCTGGGCAAACTGGGCTGTGCCCAGGGTGCCTGAGCCAGAGGGCGAGGGCATCTGAGCATGGGTGTTGCTAGGCAAAGAGGGTGGAGGATACTGGACAGGGGGCAGTGTGGGAGGGAAGTGCAGGGTTGAGCTGAAGGGGGCACTGTGCAGAGGGGGTAAAGGGGCACAGAATGGGGGTGCCTGGGCTGGGGAGGGAGTGGGTGATGCTATGCCCGCAGGGCTGGGGGCACCAAAACACAACTTTGCTCAGGACGCCATTTTCCCTAGTGCCGGCCCTGTCTGGGACTGAGTAGTGGAAAGGCTGGAGCCTCAGGCTCTGGTTCTCTTGTCAGAGCCGTGCCTGTGCACAGTCCTTGAGAACGCCTTTTGTCGCTTCGAGAGGAGCATGGTCCAAGCCCTAGAACCAGGCTTGGCTCTCCCTACTGGGAGATCGACGCTGCGGAGGTTCGATTTAGCAGGTCTAGTAAGGTCCAGCTAAATCGACTGCTGATGGCTCCCCGTCAAGCCCAGCCCTCCACAGGATCAGGAGGAATAAGGGAAGTCGATAGGAGAGTTTCTCCCGCAGCGGGGACGCCGCAGGAAGTCAAGCGCAGGCAATTTACATAGCTGGAGTCATGTCTCTTAGGTCAACTTTCTCCCCCAGCATAGAGCTGGCTCAGTAGCAGGTGTCCCTGGCCAAGCAGAGCGGGACCTGCCGCTCGGCTCCAGGGCGTTCTGCTGTTTGCCGTCCGGGGTGTCATTTTGGAGACAGGCGACCAGACCCCATTTCCACATTGGGCCCGCTTGCTACTCAGGTCCTCACGCCTTCCCTCTAGATCATTTGCATACTTCAATACCATTGGTTGAAATGAGTCAGGACTCTGCTGTGCCCTGTCAGAGTTGGGGTGCTGGGGTCAGACCGGGACAGCAGGGGCTGTTTCAGGCCAGGAGCTGGGTTGGCTGAATAGGAGTGAGACGCGATTCGCACTGTGCCTTCGTCCACACTGGGCCTGGCCGGGGCGTGGAACCATTGAACCAGCCCTGTGCATGATGGAAACCACGTCAATACTGAGCTGTCAGCCCTCCTCACACCTTCGTTCCAGCACGTGTGTGCGCAGCTCAGGTCGGTTCCAGTTCCCTTGGCCTGTGCCCGTGCAGTGCGGCAGGCCAGGTCTCCTTCCTGCGCCACACCCAGCGCAGTCGCCAGAGGACAGGCGGCAGGCAGACCTGGGAGCTGCTGCGAGGGGAGGGGGTTGCTAGCACACGACTGATTCCGCCCAGGGGAGCAGTAGCCTCTGACTGCTGGCAGTGCCTTGTCAAATCACGGCAGGGTTAAGGGCGGAGTTGGCTTTCCTGCCCTCCCCCACTCGCAGGAGAACGCAGTGGATGGGTAACGCCTGGGGTGGCTCAGGCCCTTTGAGCCTGTCCAGGAAGCTACCTGCAGCCTCACCGCCGAAGAGGCCCCGGAGCACCCCAGGGCTTACTGAGCATCACGGGCTGTCCCGCCTGCCCGGGCTGCATAGCACTTTGCCCTGTGAGCGCCCCCACACTGTCTGTGGCATGGGAGGGAGCGGGGCTCTCGGGTTAACGCTCAAGAGCGCAGGGCAGGTAGCCTGCGGTGCGCAGAGCCAGGCTGGACTTGGGCACCGAAGAGACACATCGCTACAGGCCAGTGACATAACGGGGGAGAGGGTGGCATAGGCCTGCCCTGTTGGAAAGGATGGAGACTGACCAGCCCTTAGGCACCAGGCTGTCGAGACAGGAAGCAGCTCGGGGCTCAGAGCAGCAGCCCCCTGGCTCTCGGAGAAGCAGCCCGATGTTTCACGGATGCCTCTGAAACACGTTATGGTGCGCGCTCGGGCCTGGCTCCGTGTCGGGAGCAGGGTGTCCCCTGGCTCACGATGCCCTCGCTGCCTGTCACAGCCCATGGGCACACACAGTCAGCATTGCCAATGCCATCAGAGACCAGCAGCCCTCAGGCCTCTGCTGCCATTCACATGCCTCCTGGCTCAGTCTCTCTCTCCTGTGCCTTCCCTGCAGTGGTGGTAACACTGGAACCTTGTGACGGGGCCGACACCTACGTCAATGGCAAAAAAGTGATGGAACCCAGTGTCCTGCGATCCGGTAGGTCCTGCTCCCAGGGCCGCGGTGGAGAGGGGCCCAGCGAGGGTCTGACCGACTGCTCTATCCTCTGACTCACTTCGGTCCCCTTACGGAAACACACCAGGACGCCCTGTGGGGGTTCCAGTCTAGCGGCATCCGTGCAGTCACGGCAGGGCTTCTCCTGCTCTCGTGCTCTGGTCAGTGGGGCATAAGTTGTGGGGCGCGAGAGGCCTTGGTGGTGGAAATGCTGCTGCGCAAGCCTTGCCATCGAGTTGGGTTCCTGCATATCCCAGAGACCTGCCTGGTTAACTCTGAGCTGCCCTCCCAACAGGAAACCGCATCATCATGGGGAAGAGCCACGTGTTCCGATTCAACCACCCTGAGCAGGCTCGGCAGGAGCGGGAGCGGACCCCCTGTGCGGAGACCCCTGTGGAGCCAGTGGACTGGGCCTTTGCCCAGCGAGAGCTGCTGGAGAAACAAGGCATCGACATGAAGCAGGAGATGGAGCAGAGGTGAGGAGGCCCGGGGGAGGCCGAGCAGATGAGGGGTCATGGAGGGAGGGGAACGTGGAAAGGGGGAGCAGAAGGGAAGGAAATGGGGAGTCTGCCAGTACCTTTGGTTCACTCCAGCTTTGTCATTCTGTCCTTCCTCATTCTTCCCAGGCTTCAGGAGCTGGAGGACCAGTATCGCAAGGAGAGAGAAGAGGCCAACTACCTTCTTGAGCAGCAGAGGCTGGTAGGTGGCGCATTCGCTCTGCGTCTTGCCTGTCTCGTCAGAGCAGCGCTGGTCGCAGATGGGGTGAGCTTCTGTCTACATGACGGATGGCGTGCTGGCATGAGCAGGTGGATCTGCATCTTCTGAAGGCTGGAAATACCAGGTGTCTCCACATGTCCCGGGGCCGTTCCAACGAGTGACCACAGCTGGGGCGTTGGCCGGCTGTCTGCAGGGAGTGGAGCCGTCAGTCAGTTTTATGGCTGGCGAGAGACCTGCTGCAGGAAGGGGTGCTCCAAGTCAAAAGACAGTTGTTACAGGTTGTTTCCTTATCTTCCCCCTTCCTCTCAGGACTATGAGAGTAAACTGGAGGCTTTACAGAAGCAGATGGACTCCAGGTATTATCCTGAGGCCAATGAAGAAGAGGAGGAGCCCGAAGATGAAGGTAAGAGATGAGTGAAAGCAGAGAGTGACTGAAATAAATTGAGAGAGAGAGAATGAGCCAGTTGTGCTGGCCAATGACACTTCCTGGGCATAGGGCTCTGGTCGGGCACGAGTCTGGAAGACGATCCCTGTGTATCATGAGGAGACTTTCTGCTCTCCGATAACTGCAGGTGTGTGAAGCTACAGTGTGATTACATCCAAGCCTCAGCACTTACCTCCCATTGGTACTGTAAAGGGACAGTCAGGTGGATATAAATTACACGGCTCCATTTTAAGACTGCCAAAGGGCCTTAGTGTCAATAAGAATAAGGCCCTTACAGTTTAACGCAATCAGTGCTGGTATTCTAATTGGCTCTTGCTCCCCACCCCTAGCAATGTTTGGGAGTCTTTGGCTTATGGGTGGCAAGAAGAGCAAACCATATTTCCCCAAGTGCTTCTGTGCCAGAGCAGATCTCACACAATTGTCATGATGGAGTTTGCAGTGATACTAAAAGTCGGGGAGTGATAACTAATGAAGATCTATCAATGCCGGTACCACAGGTCACCGATTCAGAGACATTGGGATTGTTCAGTAAACGGCTCCAGCCAGTATGTGCTTTCAGACAGCTGAGTGTAACTATGCATCTAGGGCCGTGGTCACCTGCCTGTCGATCGCGATTGACTGGTCGATCCTGGAGGCTTGACCAGTTGATCACGAGGCTTTGGCCCCCCCTCGTTACCCCCCACCCCCAAGATACAGGCCGCACTGATGCTACCTCCAGGGACCATGGAGGTAGCGCGGGCTTCCTGCAGGGTCGGGGCAGTTCTACAGCTGCGTGCCAGATCCCAGAAGTGCGCAGGCTGCTCTCCCCACTGCCCCAACAGCCAGCGCGGTACCTAAAATGCCGATCCATCGCGCGCTGGGGACTTTGTTCCCCTGCTGCCTTCCTGCTTACAGGGGAGTGGGTGAGGGTCCAGGATTGCACCGGCTCCAGCTACTCAGGCGGCGTGCGCTGCTGTAGGGAACAGAGAAGCAAGGCGCGCGCTGTCCCAGCGGTTGGGGCTGGTGCAGTCTGGGACTCCCCCTCCCCCAGCACAGGAAGGCATCAGGCATGTGCCGGACCAGCATTTCAGGTACTGCGTCACTGTTTGGGGGACGGGGGAGCAGCCCGCACACTTCCTGGGCCTTGGCGTGCAGCAGCAGGATCCCCAGGTATCAGTCCCTGTCCCCGCCCCTTCACCCAGACCTCTACAAGTACCCTGCCCCAGCACCCACTGGCACCCTGTCCCCTGCCCCAGCACCCATTGGCACCCTTCCCCGGCACCCTGTCCCAGAACCCACAAGCACCCTGTCCTCTCTCCAAGCACCCATTGGCACCCTTCTCCAGAACCCTGTCCCAGCACCCACAAGTACAGTTGGGGCCACATGAGTGAGGTTTGAGGGGTTTGGAGGGGTTGTGTTTTTGTATCTCACTTGTGTGGCCCCAACTGACTTTTCTGTGGGCCAGTGACCCCTGACTCAAAACAGGTTCCCTGCCCCTCTCAGAAATAAAGACAATGTAGAAACCTTTTGAGTCTGACATAATATTTTATTTAAAAATGAAGCCTGGCCAACAAGCCCTCGATTGGGGCCAAGCCCCCATCGGTCCACAGCATCATAACACTCCTGTATCCCCCACCCTGACTCCAAATCTGAGCCTATCATACTGTGACAGACCGGGCCGAGTCTGGGCGCAGCTGAGGGTGTCCGCTCAGGGCAAATTGCTCAACTTTGGGGCTCCTTACAGTCCCCAGACTGGTGACCTCTCCAGACAGGCCACAAACCAGTCCCACAGAGCGCTTCAGATGCCTGCCTAAAGCCTCCCGAGCAAAACCCCTCCGACACCCCAGAAATATCCGTGCCCCAGTGTGACGGACCAGGCCGTGTCTGGGCACAGCTGAGGGCGTCCGCTCAGGGCGAATTGCTCAACTTCGGGGCTCCTTACAGCCCCCGGACTGGTGACCTCTCCAAACAGGCCACAAACCAGTCCCACAGAGCGCTTCAGCTGCCTGCCTGAAGCCTCACGAGCAAAACCCCTCCGACACCCCAGCAATATCCGTGCCCCAGATGGCCCCGGGCCTCATACACGGAGGGGGTCCTAGCACCCAATCCCACCTACCCCGAACAAGTTCTGTCCGGTTCCAAGAAACCAGCCACAGATCCCTGGTCAATTTACCCTCTGGACCTTACCCACAAATCACGCTAGGCCAATCCTTTAGAATCTAAAACTAAAGGTTTATTATCACAAGAAAGAAAAGCCTGAGAGTAAGGTTGTTAAAGAATAGTACATTACATGCATCGAATCTCCCAGTCCTCGGTGCAGGCTCTAGCAGAGATGTTACAGCTGCTGGTTTAAAAGTTCTTATTGCACATCCTACGATCAGGATGGGTTCACAGGTCTTCCGGGCTCTTCAATCCCTGCAGTCCTGCCTCTGGGATGAAGTGCTGAGCTGAGAACAAAATGGCATCGACCACATGGCCTCTTTATACCTCCTTCCTGGCCTCTTCTTGTATGCAGCAAGTCACCTGGTCAGAGGCCAATCTCTATGTTCCCTGCTGGCTGCTCTCAGGTGACAGCCCCCATTCTTTGGGTGTGTCTTTGGCCCATCAAGTGCCATTGTCCTTAAGGGCCTGGCTAATTAGCCTGTCCATAGCAATGCTTAACCACATTCAGAGAAATATTCAGCTTCCACACAGATTACAGATTCCTACCTACACACACAGACATTATACACTCACATAAATAGTGTACACAGGATCAGCAAACAATAAGCTCCCATTCAATACCCCACATGGCTCCCTTTTATACCATTTTCTGGGGCCAACACCCCCGCCTAGGGGTGCAGCAGCGACCTGGCTCCTTCCCTCCAATTCGGTAATGTGACACCCAGATGGCCCCGGGCCTCATACACAGGTGGGGAGGGAGGGGTCCTAGCACCCAATTCCACCTACCCCAAACAAGTTCTGTCCGGTTCCAAGAAACCAGCCACAGATCCCTGGTCAATTTACCCTCTAAATCTTACCCACAAATCACGCTGGGCCAGTCCTTTAGCATCTAATGTCTAAAGGTTTATTATTACAATAAAGAAAAGCCTGAGAGTAAGGTTGTTAAAGGATAGTACATTACATGCACCGAATCTCCCAGTTCTCGGTGCAGGCTCTAGCAGAGATGTTACAGCTGTTGGTTTAAAAGTCTTTGTTGCGCATCCTAGGATCAGGATGGGTCCACAGGTCTTTCTGGCTCTTCAATCCCTGCAATGCTGCCTCTGGGATGAAGTGCTGAGCTGAAGACAAAAAATGGAGTCCACCACATGGCCTCTTTATACCTCCTTCCTGGTCTCTTCTTGGCTGCAGCAGGTCACCTGGCCAGCGGCCTATCCCTGTGTTCCCTGCTGGCAGCCCTCAGTCTTTAGGTGTGTCCTTGGCCCATTGAGTGCCATTGTCCCACAGGGCCTCGCTAGTTAGCATATCCATAGGCCGGGCTCTGCCCAATGCTCAATCACATGCAGAGAAATATTCAGTATCCACACAGATTACAGACTCCTAACTACATACACACACATTATACAATCACATGACCAGCGTACATAGGATTAGCAGACAGTGAGCTTCTATTCAACACCCCACATGGCCCCTTTTATACCATTTTTGGGGCCAACACCCCCCTATGGGTGCAGCAGTGATCTGGCTGCTTCCCTCCAATTCGGTAACGTGACACATACACTGGAACCCCCTGTCCTGAGCCTCTCACATCCCCATACTCCTGCACCCCCACATCCCCAGTCTTCTGCACCGTCCACACACTGCAAATCAGTGTCTGAGCCCCTCACACACCCCAACCCAAGCTCCTGCACCCTCACATCCACAAGCCTGCGGCTTGCTCAGCACCCCAATCCTTCACCTGAGCCCAGGACTCCCCAGCCGGGAGCCCCCATCCTGAGCCAGCATCCCCTTCTCCACGTCCTCCTGTATCCAAATTCCCTCCCAGAGCTTGTACCTCTCACCCCTTCCCACACCCAAATCCCTCATTCCCACCCCAGAGCCTGCACCTCCTGTCTCAACCCAGTGAGGGTCCAGCCAGACTGCAGGAGTTTTTCTGGCAAACATGCTCTTTTGACAGCCCCTGTTTGCCCCATTCCACAAGGAGCGAAGGGCTTCCGAAAGAAGGGGGTTTCCCGACATTTGGCCCAGCCTAGACAGGCTGAATGTCGGAAAATTTCTTCTTTCTTTTCTTCACTGCCGAAAAAAAATGGCCGTGTAGCCGTACTGTGAGAGAGTATAAGGGCCGGGGATCGCAAGTGATGGCGAGAAGGGGAACAGAGAGGGCGGGCCTCCAGGAAGGGGCGGGGTCTCGGGGGAAGGGTGGGGCGGTAGATCTGGGCTTGTCCTGACATTTAAAAAGTGATCTTGGGTGTAAAAAGGTTGGAGACCCCTGCTCTAGGGAGACAGCATGCAGGCCGGGCTGCAGGGAGGGGGGCTGTCCCGGTGAGCAGTGACTCGGAAACAGACTGGGGGGCTGTGCTGGACAATCAGCCGACTCTGCTCCCCGTGTGGTGCCCTGGCCAGAAGTGCGTGTGGCCTCAGGATGTGTAAGCAGGGGATTGGTAGGTCGGTTAGTGGAGCCCTTTGGCCTCTGTCCTTGGCAGAGGGGCGCCACCGCTGGAACACGGGCCCCAGGATGTGGAAATTGGAGAGGGGTCAGAGCAGGGCCACAAGGCTGAGGAAAGGGTTGGAACCTGCCTTGTAGCGATAGACGCAAGGAGCCACGTCTGTCTAGCAGAACAGAGAGAGGGTGAAGGGGTGACCTGGGCACAGTCTAAGTCACTACCCGGGGCGCTGGGCTCTTCAGCTTTTGTTAGCAGCAGCAAGGCAAACCCAGGCCAATGGCTGGACCTCAAAGCTAGATAAGGGCCGTTTTACCAGAGAGAGGAATTAACCTTGGGACAGCCTGCCGAGGGTTGCGGTGGATCCAGCCAAGGCTGGGTGTCTGTCTAGAAGCTCTGCTCCGGAGTTCTTTGGGGGGGGGGTGAGCAGCCTGGCCCCCACTAGCCTGGGAATGGCAGACCTGGCCCTGCCTGTACGGCTGAGGGCGGGCCGATGGGGCGCTGGGCAGAGGAGTGACCGTGTCTCTTTGTCTGAGCAGTGCAGTGGACTGAGCGGGAGTTTGATCTAGCGCTCTGGGCCTTCAGGAAGTGGAAGTGGTACCAGTTCACGTCACTGCGGGACCTGCTCTGGGGCAATGCCATTTTCTTAAAGGAGGCCAATGCCATTAGCGTGGAGCTGAAGAAGAAGGTCAGCAGCTTCTGGCGCCCTCGGGCTGTTTCTTTCCATTGTTTGTGCCTCCGCTCCTCCCTGGGTGCTGACTGCCGGGCTACGCCCATGCGTCTCCCAGGGTTGCCAAGCCACGAGGTGTTTCAGACACAGCAGCCTCTTGCCTGTGGCACCACGCTGGCGAAGGGGTGAACGAGGTCAGGGGCTGGGGCTCTCAGAGACCAGAGAGCCTGATTCCAGCTTCCCCCAGAAGCAGTGGCTGAGGCTGACTTGGTGCCAGCACATGCAGCTCCATGGCAGTCCCAGCCACCCCTCCCCAGCACAGAGGCACGGGATGGGGATCGCCATCCACACACTGACTGTCCCTGTCCATTCCCAGGTCCAGTTCCAGTTCGTCCTCCTGACAGACACTCTGTACTCCCCTCTGCCCCCCGACCTGCTGCCCCCCGATGCTGCCAAGGACCGAGAGAAACGGCCCTTCCCACGAACCATTGTGGCCGTGGAGGTGCAAGACCAGAAGAACGGAGCAACACATTACTGGACTCTGGAGAAACTCAGGTAGAGGGGCAGCGCTCAGAACACCCTGCGCAGCTCAGGGCAGGAATGGAGGCGGGGCCTCCCTGTCCCATAGGCCTAGCCCCTGCCTCGGTTGCAGGGTGCAAGCACACACCCAGTGAGAGTTGATCCCTGGTGTGCTATGCCCACTTCCCGGGCAACTGGCCAGGTGTGAGTGTGAGCACCAGTGTATGGCAAAGGAACGTAAACCCATCTTCCATTAGGAATCTACATGCCTGCACCTTCCGCATATGGTCCCCACGCTTCCATTGCTCTTCTGGTACAGCTCTCCGCCTCCACACCATGCATGGCTGAAGAGGTTTCCCCTCCCAGGGTGTGTCTGCACCATAGGGGCAGTTCAATTCCCATAGTTCAGGTTGTTTCTGTGTTGACTGCCCCACAACTACAGTGGGGCGGGAGTGGGGTGTGTGGCGGTGATGCATTGGACACCCCACGAGTACGGTGGGGCGGGGGTGGGGTGTGCGGCAGTGCTGCATTGGACGCCCCACGAGCACGGTGGTGCAGGGGGGGGGGGTGCGGCGGTGCTGCATTGGACGCCCCACGAGCACGGTGGTGCAGGGGGGGGGGGTGCGGCGGTGCTGCATTGGACGCCCCACGAGCACGGTGGTGCAGGGGGGGGGGGTGCGGCGGTGCTGCATTGGACGCCCCACGAGCACGGTGGTGCAGGGGGGGGGGGTGCGGCGGTGCTGCATTGGACGCCCCACGAGCACGGTGGTGCAGGGGGGGGGGGTGCGGCGGTGCTGCATTGGACGCCCCACGAGCACGGTGGTGCAGGGGGGGGGGGTGCGGCGGTGCTGCATTGGACGCCCCACGAGCACGGTGGTGCAGGGGGGGGGGGTGCGGCGGTGCTGCATTGGACGCCCCACGAGCACGGTGGTGCAGGGGGGGGGGGTGCGGCGGTGCTGCATTGGACGCCCCACGAGCACGGTGGTGCAGGGGGGGGGGGTGCGGCGGTGCTGCATTGGACGCCCCACGAGCACGGTGGTGCAGGGGGGGGGGGTGCGGCGGTGCTGCATTGGACGCCCCACGAGCACGGTGGTGCAGGGGGGGGGGGTGCGGCGGTGCTGCATTGGACGCCCCACGAGCACGGTGGTGCAGGGGGGGGGGGTGCGGCGGTGCTGCATTGGACGCCCCACGAGCACGGTGGTGCAGGGGGGGGGGGTGCGGCGGTGCTGCATTGGACGCCCCACGAGTACGGTGGTGCGGGGGTGGGGTGTGCGGCAGTGCTGCATTGGACACCCCACGAGTACAGTGGTGTGGGGGTGGGGTGTGCGGCGGTGATGCATTGGACGCCCCACGAGTACAGTGGGGCGGGGGTGGGGTGTGCGGCGGTGATGCATAGGACGCCCCACGAGTACGGTGGGGCGGGGGGGGGGGGGGGGGCGGGGGT